CACACACACACACACACACACACACACACACACACTCCAGCTACTGTAGGCAGATGTGCCCCACCCTCTTCCCTCCTCCTTTCCTCAGCTCCTCTCCAACAGAAGTGGAAGAGGCAGAAAGTTTCAGAGCAGCATGTCTTAAGCACTGTCTGTGGCGCACTAGAAACCCAATTATAACCCACTTTAAAATAAAAAAAAATGACAATGCGTGTTTCAGTCATAATTAAGCACATGAAAAACTGAACGGCAAGAGCGCACGACTTCTCAGACAAACTCATTTTATTCTAAACAAAGAGCTAAAAGCTGAGAAATTATCAGAGCACAGGTTTATCAGAGACTTCAGTCCAAATGATTGGAGAGCTTTGGCGCACTCACCTCAGCTCCTGTCAGGTCTAAGTTGGAGCAGAAAGCGGTCAGCAACAGGAGCGCGCCGGACGGTAACAGCATGGTGGCGGCGCGCAGTGACAACCCGAACCCCTCTCCTCGTCCTCTGTCCTCCGCTTAACTCAGCACCTTTTTTTTCTCTTATTATTATCGGCGGAGCACGGGCAGCACCTTGGGCTGCATCATTGTCCAAGACTAAGTGAAGCTCTGTTCAATGCAACTTGGTCTTGTTTCTGCTGCACCACACCCCCACCTCCCCAAAAGACCACCCTCGTTCGAACAGACCCAAAGCGTGTTTCTTACAAACATTTCCACTTCTCTCGGTAAGGAAGAGGAGAGCTCGGACACTTTTGTGCATTTAGGTGGTGATTTGGTGATTTATTTTATTGATTTTTCTTCCCCCAGAGCATCTGTTTTCCTTTTTTCACTTTCACCGCCGCGGGTGTGACTGTTGGAGGCTGTAAGTTGTGCGTCGTTTTGCTTAACCAGTCCAACARTTAATATAATTTTGTCAAAATTAAAGCAATACGTGCATTTTTATTTGGATTGACATTGCTCGGTCTGCCTCAGGCTGGATGAAGTCATGCTGTGAGAAGTGGAGAAACTGTGAGTTTGTGGACCGTGTGTGCTTTTTTGGACCATGCAGGCGCAGCGCAAGAGGAAACCGATTAATCTGAGGTAAGGTCATCCAAATAATGTCTTAAAGTACAAATTATGCGCCAAATTATTGATTATGATGTGTATGAGTAGAAATATAATATATTTTTCATCAACAGGCTGCTGTTTCTGTGCCTCTCCATCTCCATCCTCAYCTCCGGAGTGCACGCAGTAAGTGTCCCTTCCATATTTTCCCACTAAAACATGATGACAAAAACCATTAAAATCAAACCCCGTGTCTTTGGTTTGAAAGCGGTTGGTTCCATGCAGACCTCAGAGCAGTGGGAGTGTCTGGGTTCAGTGGGAGGGGGACTTGAGGTTTTCGCATGCTGGTGCAACATCTTCTAAACATTGTGTCAAAGCAGTTCCTGCTGAACTGGGTCGCGCTGAAAACTTCTAAAAGTAGAAATTAGAACATTTGGGGTGTTTTGATCTTACAAGAWGAACAAACAGAAATGGGACACTGGAGACTGTAAGCTGTGGCTGACCCTTTGACCTGCCACTGAGGGGTGGGATTATGACCKCTGCCTTCTGCAGGAGAAGTTGTTCAGTTTTAACACAATGCATTTTACTTCATTGTACAAACAAAAACTAAAGTATTTCTTATTTGTTCATTTTCCACAATTTAGTATAGGGCGGTCTACTCCAGCAATCAACAGATGGGCGATACAGGCTAAAGAGAAAGTCTGGTCATTTTAAAGCATTGTTCTGTCAGATCAGTAGTTTGTATCATATCAGTCATAGAGCACAGGCTATGGAGAAAGGGGCAGACATTTCATTCAGACTATGAAACAACTAATTCTCAAAGTCAACACAGGCATTAAAAAAGCTCCTGTAGCTAATATTAATGCTCTGCTTGTATAACATCCTTCATTTAGTTTGGTGTTTTCTCAATCAAACGTCTTTGTTACTATAGTAGTTTGTGAGCTGAGCCGTATGTGTTGCTGTAGTGTTGTTAACACCAGTATGACATTTTTGATAAATAATWATTTCATAAAGGTGGCTCAGTTGGTAGAGCCTCTCAGCGAGAAGGTCGCCAGATGGAATCCTGGTCTGGGAACTTTCCTGGGTAGAGTTTACATGTTCTCTCCATGCATGCGTGGGTTTTCTCTGGGTATTCCGGTTTCCTCCCACAGACCAAAAACATGAATGTTAGGTTAATTGGTAACTCTAAATTGTCCCTAGGTGTACTGTAAGTCAGTGAATGGTTGTTTGTCTTGTTTGTCTCTGTCTGGCCCTGTGATGGACTTGCGACCTGTCCAGCGTGTACCCCACCCCTCACACAGTAGTGACTGCTGGATATGGGCACAAGTGGCCCCCGTGACCCTGAAAGGAAGAAGCGGGTATAGATAATGGATAAAACGATGAACTATTTTATAAACCTGAAAAACAAATATAAACTTGTCCCTTGTTTAGTTAACCTTTAGCCTAGCCTAGAGGAAAACTTCTGACTTTTTCCTCGTACTCTGTGCTTTGTGACTTATGCTGAGCTGATTGACTATTGATAATTATTTGACCGAAATTCAAAAAAAAAAAAAATAGCAGAAAATCCCTTTAACCTAACTTGCTGGTTTGGGGACCAAAAAGTAGCTGAAGAAAACCCAAACATACACAAAGAGAACCTGGCTGAGTTCTGATGTGACTTCACTCCACTGCACAGCATTAAAGAAAAACAACAAAATACTAATTTTGATTATGGTTGTACTTTTGGTGCAGCTTTAAGCAGTTTTGACAGGAGTACCATCATATGTCTACAGTGTAATATAAAAATTGCTCACAGGTTTCTTTGAACAGCATGTTGAAGCAATATCRTTCTTTTGACATTGGAGGTTTTTTAAGATGGCAGCAGCTCACGTTGGTTTTCTTGGCTCCACTTAAATTAGCTGTTTGCTCGTTGATTGGACAGAATCAAGCTCTGTTTCTCCAAACTGAGGTCAGTCAGAGACTTATCAAATGTAATGTAAAATAAATAAAATTATTGTTCAAAACCCTTCCACAAAACCCCACTTCAAAAGATCTAAACTATCATTTTAAGATAGGCCAGGTCTGGTATTGATTCAAAGTCTGTTCCTTGCTTTGATCACAGCTCCACCTTTAATATGTTTTAGACATCTAAGTAGTGAGCAATTTTTTATGACTATTTATTGAAGATTTCTTATGTCTGTCTAATGCACAACAAAGACATCTAGAGGTTAAAAGTAAGACAGTGAACACAGCTCAGCTTTGGTTTCCAAACCTTTATGGGATTCAGTTTGAACATCATGTTTGAAATACTGAATTTTTTTGGTGGGGTTTTTTTCTGTTTTTCATACGCATGTTGCATAAACATAGTTTCTGCGGTGCAGAGTTGTCTCCATGTTTGTTAGCGTGCACCACGTGAGTTTGTTTTGCTGTTCTGTTTCTTCCAGCTTGTGCAGGATATCAGATGTTTGGTGCTTCTCCAAGATATTTAATATCATCCCTGAGGTTCTATGATGTGAAGTTATTTTTTGAGCCTGATGAAAAGGTCCCATTGTCTCGCACTMCTATCAGATTTAGTCGTGGCTTGATCAAAAGCTCGTGACACTGTTCAGCTCATCTGTGTATTGCAAAGCTTCTCCCTGTTGCACCAATACTGATGATAAAATGTAGTTTGAAAAACCCTTGTACTTAYCTCAGGCGAGTATGATATACAATCAGATTTTTTTATATATTTCCATCTCTGAGCAACAGAGAGGCTGCCAAAAGCATGATGGAATAAAATTGCAGGGAATGCTGTGTTAAAGACATTTTATATATATATTTTGAAAACTGTTGACATGTTAACTCTTCTTACTCATATCTGACTCAGAATTTCTTAATTCATCTGTGTCCTATTTGGAAAATATGTTTTTGTTTATCATATTGAAATCTGGCTCATGGGACTCCTTCAGTTCTTTGAACCAAACCACCCCGTGCAACTGTTTCCCACCATCTCCTTTATGTCAACTTGTATTTGGGATTCATTTGCTTATTTAGGCTGGAGTTGTCAATAAGTTCTTCATGTGACATTTTATTTGTGATTCCCACATAGTTCTCATTCCTCTAATTGGTTTAAACCACAGTGCCAGCCGTTTAATCTCTTGAAACGTGGGCATAACATGGTTTAAATATGCTGACAGGGAAGCAATTTTTAACACAGTATCAAATCAAATTAAAGACCATAACATTCCATTAAAAATACTTCTTATCCCAGACATTTCTCGCTAAAGTTTAAACAAAGATGGTCTAATTTCGAAATTATTGCCACATGTAATCTCACACAATATGGCAAGATGTTATTTTATTAGTTAGCCTACGTTGTTAGCATACCGTCTGCCAAACTCCTAAACCAATTTCCTGTTTCACCTGTTCRCATTCAGATAGTATGCTGAGAATGACTCTTGGCTTCTTCAACACCACATTTTATCTTACTATTTGTAAAACTGACTRACTTAGTTTTTTTTCACTCTTTGGGAAGATTTTTTGCTTCCARTGAGGAAGCAGAGCCTGGGGACCCTGGGTCGGACTCTCCAATCTCTGGCGCTGAGGTCACCGAGGTGGTTAAAAAGCTCCTCAGTGGCAAGGCGCCGGGGGTGGATGAGAATCGCCGAGAGTTCCTTAAGGCTCTGGATGTTGTGGGGTTGCGCTGATTGACGTGTCTCTACAATATTGTGTGGACATCGGGGTCAGTTCTCCTGGATTGGCAGGCCGGAGTGCGCAGAGTGTGTTCCAACTACAGGGGGATCAGATTTCTAAGCCTCCCTGGTAAGGTCTATTCAAATCTTGGATTCAGGAAGAGCAGTGTGGTTTTCTTCCTGGTCGTGGAACACTGGACAAGCTCTACACCYTCAGCATGGTCCTGGAGGGTTCATGGGAGTTCACCCAACCTGTCTACATGTGTTTTATGGACTTGGAGAAGGCGTTAGACCGTGTCCCTCAGGAGTCCTGTGGGTGATACTCCGGTAGAATGGGGTACCAAGTCCTTGATATGGGCTGTTAGGTCCCTGTATGACCAGTGTCAGAGCCTGGTCTGCATTGCTGGTAGTAAATCGGGCTTGTTTCCAGTGAGAGTTGGACTCTGCCAAGGTTGCCCATTGTCACCGATTCTGTTCATAACTTTTATGGACAGAATTTCTAGGYACAGCCAAGGTGTTGAGGAGATCAGTTTTGTTGACCTTAGGATCGCATCTCTGCTTTTTGCGGATGATGTGGTCCTATTGGCTTCATCAGATTATGATCTCCAGCTCAACAAAATCACAGAAACAGGCGGCCAAAAATTTCCTCCACAGGGTGTCTGGGCTCTCCCTTAGAGATAGGATGAGAAGCTTGGTCATCCGGGAGGGACTCAGAGTAGAGCCGCTGCTCCTCCACGTCGAGAGGAGCCAGTTGAGGTGACTCGGGCATCTGGTTAGACTGCCTCCTGGATGCCTCCCTGGTGAGGTGTTACGGGCACGTCCCACTGGGAGGAGRCCCARAGGAAGAYYCAGGACACGCTGGAGGGACAAMGTTTCTCAGTTGGCTTGGGAACACATTGGGATTCCCCCGGAGGAGCTGACCCAAGTGGCTGGGGAGAGGGAAAACTGGGTTTCTCTGTTTAGTCTACTGCCCCAGCAACCTAGTCCAGAATGGATGGATGGATGGATGGATGGATGGATGGATGGATGGATGGATGGATGGATGGATGGATGGATGGATGGATGGATGGATGGA